TTTGAAAAATGCCCGGTTCCAGAAAGATTTCAACAATTCATTCCACACATTGACTACACTATCGATGAGGATCATGAAGAATTTGATGAAACCAAATCACAGTTCAACAATTACTTCATCAATGTCATCAAGAACTTTGGAGGACATCTTTTCATGAATGGCGAGGCTGGTTCGTTGTATCCTCACAGAGAAAGACTCGACGAGGTTGACTTTAAAACTTGCTTCAATGACTATCATGACTTGATGGTGGCAGCTCGCCTTGGAAAGGATGGATATATCAAGCAAATTGCTGGATATCACACAGATGACAACGACACACGAGTTCGACAAGTCTCATGGGCAATCTTTGAAGTATCTTGGGGAAAGACAAAGGATCGAGATACAGATGAGATTGTTGACTTGACAAGAGCTAGGATGAGAATGACACGTGTGTGCGTTTATCACGTTGGACAGAAGTATGCATCAGACTCTGCTGGGATTGTTGGTGAGAGCTTAGCTGTTATGGCTTTTGAGTGTGCCAGATATCAAGTTGACTTCATCGCAGGTGATGGAAACAAGGCATGCTATTACAGCACACCAAAATCTCCAGGTGCCCCTACATATCAACACAGCCTTATCCAATTCTGGATTAACAGAATGGTAGGTGTTGCAACACAAGCCATGCGCAAGAATAGAATTTTGACAACTTGCCCTCCAATCAGGGTCAAGCATTTAGTTCTTGCAGTTATCGTGACTGATTGGATGTTCTGGCAACGTCATTTGGATGGCATTACAACAGCAACATACACCGACGAGCTCATGAACAAGACAAAATGCTGTAAAGGTGATTGTTGTATGTTAAACAGTTGGTGAGTGGGGTCATTCCAGTTTGATGTGATGAGGAAAACCCAGAAGACTTTGAGGATGAAGATCACATGAACTATTGGTTAATTTTACTTCAAGGGTAAATGAACCACTTGCTTACATGGTGATCACAACATCTTCATGGTGTTTTGACTCAAAATGATCGCGGATGCTCAGAATGCCAATTTCTTGGCCATCTGATCCTTTGAATGGTCTGGATATGAACGACCATCATTTACAAAACAGGCCTACAAGAGAAGCAGTATGCTTGATTCAGAAAGGAAAGACAGAAGGAGAAAAAGAGGAAAGGCATATGAAGATCAAGCATCGACGTATCAGGGCAACACAGAGTGGGGTGGATCCTCATCTTCAGCGTCCAGACCATGGAGATCAAGTGAGTGGCGATGAGTGAGTGTACACTTCTTTAAATGAAGATAACACAGCATGAGAAGCCGTGTGCAGTTTTTCTGTGCGTTCAACTTATTTCACACAGATGGCATATACTCTTTTAGATAGAGATAATGCCACAAGTGTCTGAACTTCAATTTAATGTAAAATAGAGACTTTTGTAAATAGAGATACTATATACATTTATCTCCATGAATCATCCGGCGAGCAGACCACTCCGAATGGAGCGAACTTCAAAAATTTACCAACTTCGATTTCAGTCCATTGTTTGCTTGAATGAGCAACTTTGGAGATCCGCTATTTCCGTTTATGTCGTGATTTGGTCAATTGTTTTCGTATGACCTGAATTTCTGAATCTTGCGAACCCGAACTTTTCAATTCGAACTTTCACCGGTAGAGCAAGGCATTTTGCCTGTGGAGAGACCGTGCGCGAAGCACCATTGGTCACTACTGGAAAAATTAGCGAATCCGCTGTTCTTTTTCGACATGTCCTTAGGACATTCGCTGCTTCCACGTGTTTTTCAATTCGAAGCCACTGCGTAAAACTCGGTTCTTTGCTTTCCATTGTGTAAGAGAAGTCAGGAAGATACTTCTTATTACCAATTGGGTACGGGCACGGAGGACGTAGTGCTCTACTCATGTTGAATTTTGTGCTGTGTTTTTGTTTCGACCTAATACCACATAGGTACATGCATGAGTATTGAGAATTTATAGGCGCTTCAAGGCGCAAGAAAGAGGTATATAGAGTAAACCTGTAGACAAGCACTGACCGGCAACCGGCTGGAGAGTAAAAGAGTGCTGTCATTGGGGAAGCGCCTTAGCGATCTGAAGTAGGACGCTAAGGGGCCCCCTCTTCAACCTCCCCCCCCCCCCCACCTTTGTTTTTAGCTATCTAGCTATCTAGCTACCTACCTACGAAGTGCTGCCCCTGTCACGCAAAATCAGCGCCCTGACCTCCTAACATCTCTCATGAACATGTCTTTTGTACTGCGCCTGCCACGCGAAATGCATCTTAATGTCCCACGCCTGCCATGGTTTTTGGAAATGCCCTCCCCCCTGCACCCCCCCACCCGCTTATATTTTGCAACCGGCGCCCCTTGCTCCCTACTCCTATTCCTTTTGCTTTTTCCATCAGCATCAATGATTTGGGTTCCTATGTGCTTCTTTCTTCGTACTTCTTTCTTGGTACGGCAGCCCTCCCCCCTGCACCCCCCCACCCGCTTTTATGTTTGATTCGGCTCCCCTTCTTACCTTCTCTCATTCCTTCTTGTCATGAGCATCGTTTATTTTAGTTCATCTTATTTTTCTTGATCTTTACCAATATCCATGGAGACTTGTTTCTACGTGCTTCTTTCTTGGTATGCATTGCGGGGGGAGGCGCTGCGCCCTCCCCCCTGCACCACCCCACCCGCTTTTATTTTGTAATCGGCGCCCCTTGCTACCCCTTTTGCTTTTTCCATCAGCATCAACGATTTGGGTTCATATGTGCTTCTTTCTTCGTACTTCTTTCTTGGTACGCATTGCGGGGGGAGGCGCTGCGCCCTCCCCCCTGCACCCCCCCACCCGCTTTTATTTTGTAACCGGCGCCCCATGCTACCTACTCCTATTCCTTTTGCATCCTTTTGCTTTTTCCATCAGCATCAATGATTTGGGTTCCTATGCGCTTCTTTCTTGGTACGCATTGCGGGGGAGGCGCTGCGCCCCCCCTGCACCCCCCCACCCGCTTTTATTTTGTAATCGGCGCCCCTTGCTACCTACTCCGATTCCTTTTGCTTTTTCCATCAGCATCAACGATTTGGGTTCATATGTGCTTCTTTCTTCGTACTTCTTGCTTGGTACGCATTGCGGGGGGAGGCGCTGCGCCCTCCCCCCTGCACCCCCCCCACCCGCTTTTATTTTGTAACCGGCGCCCCTTGCTACCTACTCCTATTCCTTTTGTTTTTTCCAGATGATTTGGGTTCATATGCGCTTCTTTCTTGGTCCGCATTGCGGGGGGAGGCGCTGCGCCCTCCCCCCTGCACGACCCCGGCGCCCCTTGGTACCTACTCCTGTTCCTTTTGCTTTTTCCATCTGCATCAACGATGTGGGTCCCTATGTGCTTCTTTCTTCGTCCGCATTGCGGGGGAGGGCGCAGCACCCCCCCACCCGCTTTTATTTCGTAACCGGCGCCCCTTGGTACCCCTTTTTGCTTTTTCCATCAGCATCAACGATGTGGGTTCCTATGTGCTTCTTTCTTCGTACTTCTTTCTTGGTACGCATTGCGGGGGGAGGCGCTGCGCCCTCCCCCCTGCACCCCCCCACCCGCTTTTATTTTTTAATCGGCGCCTTGCTGACCTACTCCTATTCCTTTTGCGTTTTACATCAACATCAATGATTTGGGTCCTATGCGTTCTTTCTTGGTTAAGCATTGCGGGGGTAGGCGTGGCCCCCCCTTGAACCCCCCCACCCGCTTTATTTTTGTAACGGCGCCCCTTGCTACCTACTCTATTCCTTGTGCTTGCGGCTACTAGTACTACTACTACTACTACTACTACTATTACTACTAGTACTACCACCACCACCACCACTACTACTACTATTACTACTACTACTACTACTCGGACTACTACTCCTACTCCTACTCCTACTCCTACTCCTACTCCTACTCCTACTCCTACTACTACTACTACTACTACTACCACTACCACTACCACTACCACTACCACTACCACTACCACTACCACTACCACTACCACTACTACTACCACTACTACTACCACTACTACTACTACTACTACTACTATCCTAGGTTCTTACGCATACTCCGACTCTAAGCCTTTACGACGACTACCCCCACCACCATCCACCCCACCATACTACGATACTACGAGTACTCTACTCTACTCTTACCTGCTACTGCTACTGCTACTACTACTACTACTCCTACTCCTACTCCTACTCCTACTCCTACTCCGACTCCTACTCCTACTCCTACTACTACTACTACTACTACTACTACTACTACTACTACTACTACCTACGACTACGACTACGACTACGACTACTACTACTACTACTACTACGACTACTACTACTACCAAAGTCCAGAACCGTCCAACTCGCATGACTTCGGTCCCGGTGCACGGCTGGTGCCCAAAAAATTGCAGGAGATGCACCAATGAAGCAGCAGGAGGGGGGGAGGGGGGACCTCCCCCCACCTTTACAGCATCGCAGGAGGGGGGAGGGGGGGGGGCCCTCCCCCCACCTTTAGAGCATTGCAGGAGGGGGGGGGGGGGGGGCCCCCCCCCCTTGGATTCGAGCACATATCTTCTCCTGGTGAGGAGGGGGGAGGGGGGTACCCCCCTCCCCCGCCCCTCGGATTGATCCGACCAAAAACGAGCAAACTATCGAATATCATCAAATTCACCACTTTAAACATATTCCAAATAAAAAACAACGAAAACTTCCCCATCCTCGAAGGTCTCCAAATAAAACATACATACACATATATATATATAATCATATATATATAAACATATATATATATATATAATCATATATATATAATCATATATATATAATCATATATATATATATAATCATATATATATATAATCATATATATATATAATCATATATATATAATCATATATATATATATATGACATATATAATATATATATATATATATGTGTGACATATATAGATAGATATTTTGAATGCCATCCATTTCACCACTTCGGCCCTTGGATCGGCCGCAAAGTTACGTGCCTCGTTGGGCTTCGGAGGAGGCAAGGCCTCCACTCCAAAAGCGCCGGGCTCCGGGATGGGCATGGCATACCTGAAAGGCACGGCATGGAATCAACGCTGATGCGTCTTGTGGTATAGATCTAAATTATATATATATATACATCATAATAGCAGTAATAGATCTTGTAGTATAATATCTATATATCTCATAATATACTTTCTTTACTTCAAACATCTGAGAGTTGATCTTCAAAGCATGGAATAATTATGATATACATGATATGTGTGCAATCATTCCATATTCACATGGAGATTTTGGAGGTTAATCCCTAGTCATGGCCTTTTTCAGACATCAAATGGTTGTCACAGTTGTCACATCCAAACCACACCAGGAAACGCCAGGGCTGCAGAGCCGAAGTTCACGAAATGCGCCGCCAGGGTAGGCTGCGCGGGCGTGTTTTATGTCAAGCCCGGTTTCCATGGATCGATTTCGTGTGATTTCATGTGATTTCGGGGAAAGTTCACCGGAAGCCGAGGGTCTTTCTACACCAAAATGTAGGCTGCCGGAGTGCCTGTAAGTTCTTCTATCATCCATTTCTGCTTCAAAAGATGGATGGAAAGATGGGGTTTACTATGGTTTACCTCTAAGACTCTAAGACTCTATAGCTACCTGAAAAAAGTTATACTGATGCTGCCAAAAAGTGAACAACCCAGGTTATTTTTCTGTCCCCTTTTGTTGAGGTGCCCAGGTGGGTGCAGAATTGCAGAGACATACTTTCCAATTCCAAGGAAACCGGAGTTCAGGAGAAGAAAGTGTCATGTTTTCTTCATTATATAATCAAACACAGTTTTGGAGCATGGTTCTACATCAAGAATTCGCAAAAACAAACAAGGCAAGCATGGTATAAAACAGTCAAGTTCATCCATGCAATTTCAACATATATCATTAATATATATATATATATATCAATCTTATAGTCTATATCCAGATATCAAGTTCATATATTATCACATGTTCATTAATATAGTTCATCCAGATATATGTATATTTCTCTCTATATATGTCTATATGTCATGATTATCATTATTATCATGATATATATATATATCATTATTCTTACATTATAAGTACTATTATGTATATATACATGTATACTATCCATGACATCATGTATAACACCAGATATCCATTCTTTCGAAACCACTGCGATTTTTGCGCCCCCGCGGTCCCACGGAGACCTCTCTGGGAAGAGGACCTAATTCGCTGGGAAAATCCACAGCTTCAGCACATCTTTATGCCGATAGGCAACCTATGCTTATTATATATTAATTATAAGGAAAAATAAGGCTATAATATATGATATGAATATAAGGGATAATAAACAATGTATGTTACCTATGTTACCTATCCAACTAAGGAAAAAACATCCAAACCGGGAAAATGTGATCAGCTATCCATGTGTTGCGGAGGTAAATATATCGGGGATATCAAGTTCCGTGTAACCAATGCTGGTCATGCTGGTCATGTTGGGAGTTTGGGACTGACTTAACCACTGAAAACGGGGAGTGAACAGTTGCACCCAAAGATTGCGATATTGACCAGCACGCTCCTCGTGTGGTACACTAGATTCCTCTACAGAAACGGACAATGGTTGTATATCATGATTACCCACTGTTACCTCTACACCCGGTCCATTTTTGGGATACAGCAAGTGCTGGCAAAGAATTGCACCTGGAACAAGGTGGAAATGGGCAAATCTCACATTCTGAGGGTAATCTTCCACAATATCTTAAGTTGCGGAATCCGCAACTGGAAGCATGCCATGTTTTTTTGTTGGTTCACAATCAGGGTTGGATTTCCCAACAGTGATCCTCAACATACCACTCAAGAACCGTGCAGTTGACCCCTCAGAACGTGGCGCTTGCCCTGCCAAGAAACCCCAAATCTGAAGCACGCGCTCAGCATTGATCCCTGGGAAGGGCTTGAGGTCGTCTATCAGATGTTACATCAATCAACATGACCAAAATGTGACCATTCAAAAGGCATATGCAAAGTACATCAACGTATGATCCGTATAAAAGTAATTAAACTGATTTGGTGACTGATCAGGTTGAGTTCGAACAAGCTTGGTATTCGCCAAAGGAACTCAACAAACAATATATCCACTCAACTATTTATTCAGCGCACACATACTCTTTTGACAAAAGGGTTTCAGAGAAAGAATGAAAACAATGATTGGAACGGGTGGTAAGAGATTGGAGAGAGTGGTAAGAGATCATCAATTCCAGGATGATATCTTTATCTGTCCATTTTCCAGGATGTTGGTATCAACTCTATGCTGGAATCATCAATATCCACTTCTAATCCCAGCAATCCCCGACACAATGAGGAATTACCCTTCCAACTTCGCTGTATGGAATCCTGAATTTAAATGCCGTTGGTAAAATGTCAAGTGATTCTTATATGTTTCGTTGATTTTCAACGATTGTTGTATCACCAACCATTAATCTTCGTCCTTTGGAGTCAGATTCGGAAACCACTGAGACTGCGACATCCAGAGACGCTGTAGTGAACGAAAATGGTCCTCTTTTCGTCCGCCTTTCTAAGTTTTTCCTCAGGCGCAAGCTTTTCCACCATCTTACGTCTTCCCAACCGTCGGAGTGCGAGGTTCCAAGATGTCTCTCAGCATTAATTCACATTAATTAACCTTTCAAACGTGTTCGGTTTTTTTGGGGGGAGGAAAAAGAAGAAGAGTTCTTGTTGACGTTTTGTTTGTTTTGTTTGTCCCATGTTGCTGCCTTTTTACCCACATGCAATCACCAAAGCAAAGAGAGATGATATGAGATGATATGGGTATGAGTACTTGTAACAAATGAGCAGAATATGCGATCATTTGAGCCTTTGAGAAAAACATACCCATATCCAGATATTTTATGCTTGCTCTAGCCAAGGATCATTCATCTTGTACACCAAATCCCAGGTGAACGCATCGAAAAGGACCTGGATTTTGCGGATGATCGAAAAGGCACCATCAAAATGGAGCTTCCATGAGCTTCCACCATGAAAGTCGGGGTACAAAACCTGACAAAATATACACAAATGGGAATTCAACCATGAGGAATTGGGGTGTCTTCAAGAAAAAACAGAAAAAAGACATAGGATTATCTAGACGAACAAGAATGATGGGGGCTGTAATATGATGTCACTATGGTATCTGATGTATGAAAGCACCATGTCGATTCAAACGTCCAGCAGTTCCTGGAATTTTCCACGGAACTGTTACGAACCACTTACTCTACTGATTGCATGTGGATCCTACAGCCACGTTTGGACCTTTGAAAAACACGCGTAGTAAAGGTCTATGTATCGTGGTCCACCCTGTGAATGGAGGATTTACCTCTGCACACTTCAAATATCAATAGGGGTAGAACTTGCCTACCTGAAACAATGCAATAAGTATTTCAGTATGATGCTAATATTAAAATATGTTAAACACCAAAGGTTAATAAACACATCTTGATGGGTGAGTACCATCTTACTAGCAAAAGGTATCTGCTTCCGAGGCGAACCTGGTGTTTTTTCCCCAGCCAGGCAAGTGACCAGTCCGATCATTTTGATGACAAAGGCCCCTAGAAGACCTTGGCAGAGACCGGTCTTAAGATAGGTCAAAAGAAACACATTTTGATGGGGATAATTCCGGGTAGGAAAAACCATCATTAACTGTAAAAAACCATAATAAATCACAATAAACTCCATATTTTTTATCAAAATAAACTCCATAAATCCTAGGGATTTGAGGATCTAAGCAACAACAGGGGCAATGAAACAGGGGGTGACAACGTAAAAATAACACAAAATAAGTGGCATTGATAAAAGCACATAAAAAAATCTGATTCCTGGGTATTGGACAGACAAAATAAGGGTTTAATCATCAAACTCTTCTAAATGGCCTAAGAGATACTCGACAAATGGCTGAAGACCCACTGATAAAATCAAATTTTTGGATTTACCCTTTGGCAATTTAACAGTTTATACATTTTGCTGTGGAAAATCCATGAACATGCCATATTTCTAGATGATAAACATCATGATTTACCAACAAAATCGGAATTTTCCAGTTCGCAAAGCGACATCCTGCACCATTGGACCATCTATTGGACGGTCTCTGGGGCGCCACACTAATGAGAAACCAGAGGACTAGCACCAAAAAATAGGTCGCGTCCACCTGCTGGCTGGATGTTGGGATGAACAAAATCGGGTGTAAATAGAATACATATCGCAAATATTACATATGAAACATCAAGATCCATTTGGGCAACTATACTTAAACATCTTAAACATGTGAATTTCTCCAAATCTAGATTCGCATAACATGTACATAGATTCTACACCACATATTGGTGTTACTTTCGGTGTATTTTGGAGCCCAGGTTAAATCTTACATCGTCCCATCATTGACGACTCTTTATCCTCGAACCTATCAATTTTGAGGTTATGTGTGGGATGAAAATCGGGCATCCAAATTTTGCTGGTTCAAAACCTCATTTCTCCTACCGCAGTAATTTTGGTTGCTACCCTCCGGTAAACATACAAAAAACTATGGAAAATCACCATTTTTGATGGGAAGATCCACTATAAATAGGCAATTTTTAATAGCTATGTTAGTTTACCAGAGGGTATATCCCATGAATTTGTCGGCGTGTCTCTGCTTTGTCGCGCCTGGATCTGTCCACTCGCTTCCAAGATCGTAAAGAGTACCGTCGCCAGCGCACACGCGCCGATCGAGATCACACAACACCTGGGATTTCTGCAGATCGCTGGGGTGAAGTGCCATGGTGCACCCAAAACGTCTGATTGAGATCAAATATCTAAGGCCAAGTCATGGTGGAGTATTGATGTCGCCATGGTATAGATGGCCCTAATCGAAATAGATGGTTTACCGTTCTTAAAAATGGTGATTTTCCATGGCAAACTGTTAAATAACCAGATGGTAAGGGGCATGGATTTTCAATCAGCCTGTAGAACAGTTGGGACTGCCTATTGTTCTTGCCATGTGCAATAAAGTCCTTTTGCAAAGCCATGTTTTAGGATTCACAATAGATGTCCAGAATATATCACCCTGAAATAGAAAGCCTTCATCAGTGGATCAACGCAGCAAAAATGGAGATGCAAGCAATAACACATGGTGAATGGTGAACATTGATTCATCTTCAGATCCACTTTGCAAGTGATGATTCAGGCCACTGCACGCAGCGCCAGGGCAAGGGTGCAGTCCGATGGTTGAGGCTAGTGGCTCATCATCTTGCAGTCAAATTCTCTGGTGACTTGGTAACATAAAATGGTAAGCTTTTTGTTCACATCTCGCGGAAGTAACCGTGAAAATTCATTGCCTTCTCTATGTGACAGACAAAAAAAAGACGCCACGGTGCCGGATGTCCAACCTTTGGGGATCTCTCAGGCTCCAACACTTCTTTATCCAGAAATTTGAGATTTCCAAGCACACCTGGCATATTGGCATGGAAATTCTTGCAGTGATCCATCTTGGTTGGAAAAAAAGGACACCTACATGCTGATGAAGGCGACAAAGTTTGCAAGCTTGACAATCTGCAAGACCATGAGAAAAAGAAAGACGCACAGCTGAAACAATTGTCATGTTCGGAGCTGAAGAACCCTGAAAATCTGCAGATCAACCAGCAATTTTTGTACAGGAGAGTGAGTCAAAATTGGCTGTGCCAAGATCTGGTCATACTCAATTCGACCATCTGGTCATCTGGTCATGTGACAGTGCAGTGAACAATCCCGGTAGAGGAAAGGTTTTCACCACATTTTTCTAGCAACAAACAACAATGATTTCCATATGATTCATATGATCAATTATGATCATATATGGCTCAAAAGCTAGGTCCCAGTTTTGGCACGAATTCATGTTGTCCATCCATTCACATCTGGCCATCCCACGGGATTTCCGCCGACGCCTTCAGTAAAGGCCTGCCAAATTTGCTCGTCTGGCACTTCTTTGGGGGGCTCCTGGTGACGGCCGCGGCCGCAGGCGGTTTCTGGTTGGATGTGGGATGTTCCCCCCCAAAAAAAACTGAGTTGATTGGATGGTAGCAGAAGAGAAGCATTCACCATCAAATTGGCTGATCCAATCGTTTCTGTTAGGATTGGCATGATTGTCATAATTATTGATCATGACTTAAAATCCCACACACTGTGAATTGCTGATCTTGGCAGTTTCGAGAGGCACCCGCAACTTGTGTCGAGTCATCTCTTTGGGTTCCAACCCTTGGAGTTTTTCCATATCCAACATCTATCAACATCTCACCATGGCCATAGTGGGCCCAAAGTGGATCACCCAACCCCGGCGCTCCATCATCAGGATATCTTCGATGGAGCCCAGCTCTCTATGTAGCCGCATCTTCGACAGGTCGGGTCGATCCAACTGCCTGATTTCCGCCGCACGAATTCAGGGCTCTATCTTGAGCTGTTAAATGTCTATGGAGGGTTCCACAAATGAGGGGTACCCCTAGCTATCATCCATTTATAGATGGATTTTCCATAAAATAACCATCCAGCTATGGGAGTACCCCCATGACCATGGAAACCCCCATATCCACACGGGTAACTGAAGTGATTAGCCGTCCCTATAAGGTAACTGGAAGGTTGGGGTCTCATGACAATGCCAATTCAGGGAGACCAAATTCATCTATTTTTTCGTCGCTTAAACATAACTGGTTGGTGGTTGAGCCCTACCCCTCTGAAAAATGATGGAGTTCGTCAATTGGGATGATGATTATTCCCAATATATGGAAAGTTATAAAACATGTTCCAAACCACCAACCAGATAAATATCAGGAATTAAAGTCTCCCCGACAATCTTCCAACGACGTTGCCCCTAAACCGCACAATACGCATGACATGTTCCAATAAATTCCTTTTCCATCCCATTCCCCTTCCCATGTCCACCAGGCATTTCGGCCTACGACAGGCATCTTCGATGAGTTCCGGCAGTTCGGCCGTTTTCTGTGCCAAGACTTTGACGTTCGAAACGGAACTCTTCACTGCTTGCACCACCGCCATCGAAAAAAGGCGACCGCGGTTGTGCGCAGCTGAGTCCCAAGCAGCGGTTGGATGGGGGGTTGGTGATGGCTGGGGGCTGTTGTAGGGCCTGTGACGGGTAGGTTTACTGCCACTTTTCTGAAGCTTCCAATTAAAGGAATGAATTGTGGGCTGAAGTGTTGAATGAAAGGTGGGAAGTCTTTGAAATTTGAAACCATCAGCTATATAGCAATTTTAATGTCTAAGTGATTCATCTATGTCTAGACATAGATTTTTGGCTCTCCCAAGCGGGTCGGTCGTATGTTTTTCGGACAGCAACTGGAGCCATAGCAGAGATGGGCCATGAACCAACTGGATCCAAAAAAAGCCAAAGCCTTGGAAGAAACCACGGGTAAAACATGGTTTTTCACCTTGGGTACCCTCTGGTTATGTCAAAATAGCTATTGAAAATGACAATTTATGGTCGATTTACCCATTGAACATGGTGATTTTCCATAGCTACGTTAAATTACCAGAGGGTACAACGAACAAATCAAAGATCCCATCGGATGTATTACTAAACCCAGAACCGTGACCGAAAAATCCTTAGTCATTGGTGGCTCCCAATGAAACTTGACCTTCCACCACAACGAATCACGGTATCATGATCATGCTGGCCTTCAAGCCATACAACAGACCGTTGAGCTCGGCAAACCTCAGGTAAAAAACGAGGGATTTGTGACTGTAGGAGACACCAAAAAACAACTGCTGTTGTGAATTTCACTTGACACCTGTTTTCATATGATGAAATTCTAGGATTTTTTAGGAGTCAACAACCAAAAGTCAGGGTCATGTGACTTTGGCCCATTGACTCATCCCAGTTTCCCCTTTCATCTCTATCAGAATGTGTTTTTTTTTGAACAATCCATGGATTGGTCCATGATTTTCTGGTGACAACTGATCAAAACATTGGGGAAACTAGGGGTAGTTTGCCAAACATGGCATCCCGTTAATCTAACATAGCGAAAATGGATGAACATCAATTCACCGGAGAATCCATTCGAAATCCCGTTGTCCCGATATCTTTAGGGCTTAAAACACCATTAAAAAAGACGAACCGAAATCGACGATTTACTATAGTGATTTATAGACTTTTACCATTAATATAGATGATTTATCATGGCTATATTTAAAGATGATTTACCGATTAGACATGATGATTTATCGAATGGGTCTCCACTGGAGTCTCCCTCGCCGCCAGGACACTGCACGGTTTCACGCAGAAGTTCACGCGCTGCGAACTGGCCGGTTTGAAATTTTCAGGTGAGGGCAGCTGAGAAACTTAAGTATAGTGTATGTCACAAAATAACGTGGACTGATGAGCTGGGGGACATTTTTTTTTGAGTACAAGCATTGAGTATATTCTGATGTGTCCTGCAAAGATGCGGTAGTCTCTTGGTGATTCCATACTTTGCCGTTTATGGCAAGAAAGAGCCAGTGAGATTTCAACAAACCTGGATGAGGGCAACAAAAGCGCTCTGTGCCAAACGCAATGTTGAAGTCGTTTAGCAGAGGGTATATTATTCATATTTATTCATTATACCCTCTGGTATTTCATTATACCATCTATGGTAAAATTGATGAATAAGCCATTGATTTATACACATTATACCCATTATACCATATAGATGTACCCATTATATAATTGATATGAAATATACCCGTAATCATATAATTGAATATGACATGGAATTGATGTATGATATACTGAATAATTTGTTTCATAGACCATATCATATATCATTGATATAGCCATGAAATACCATTGATTATACCATTTATTGAATATACCAAAATAATATCATTGATTATACCACTGATATACCCATTTATCATTAATGTCATATATCATTGATATACCCATTGGTGTTCACATTGAAAATACCATTGATGAAAAATCCTACTTTCCCAGGGTTTTCCATTGGTCATCCGGCCTCGAGCGAGTCGGAACATCTGCTGGGCGCGAAGTCTTTGCCTGGTGCTTGTGCCCAAGTATAAAATTGCGACTACAAATATGTTATTATACGTTAGTATAAATGTAAGTATATTATTTTTATAACATAGAGTTACTATTGATGTATGTATATATGGTATTACTAATTACTATTGTGTATTTATTGATGTAATATTGATGTGCTATTGATGCGATCCCGTGCATTGAAAGAATCAACGTTTTAGACATTGACGTGGCATGCAGAAGGTGTCCAAACATCACGGACCAACTCGGGTGGGGTTGTCAATTTCGCAGATGCCCATTTTGTTGCTCCCATCTTTCCATACTTTGACCTCATACCCCCTTGTTTCACTTAATGTCTTATACCGCATGCCAAAAATGCTTGAACATTTGAACATGATCATCAAACAATAACATAGAATAACTATCAAACTATCATCAAACAATCTCATTTCACCAGTTTCCTATGTCTGCATGGACCTACGGACCTTGTGTTTTGCTCCCTGCCATTGGATTCCTATGGAGATCTGCCAAAAAAACCACCAGCGATTCCCAGGAACGATCCAACGTTTGGAGTTTCACCAGGGCAGCAGTAGCCTTGGTGGCTGCCCTGGTTGATGACTTGGTGGCTGCTTGGTGGTCCAGAGGTGAATATATGTGGTTAATAACGATGGTTAATAATGGTGGTTAATAATGGTGGTTAATAATGATGGTTAATAATGATGGTTATTATATGGTTATTATATATGGTTTTTATATGCTTAATGATGGTTCATAATCATCTGGTTGGTGGTATAGCTACCTACCCCTCTGAAAAATGATGGAGTGAGGATCGTCAGTTGGGATGATGGAAATTCCCAACTTTTTATGGAAAGTCATTTTAAAGCCATGGTCCAAACCACCAACCAGTTATTAAAATGATTCAATTCTCCAGATGATCATGATCCACTAGTCACGAACTTGATGGGTACTTCTAGCTCCCAAAAGTTGCTCTGTTCCAGAGATTGACAGTACGAACACTACAAGAAAGACCTCAAAAATGGATGGTTAAAACATGTTAAAACTGAACCCCCTGGGTTTCACCATCCGTTTGTAGTACCATCTGGTTATTCAACATAGCCCTGGAAAGATCCACCCTGTTTAAGAACGGTAAACCATGGTAAACCATCTATTTCTATGGGCCATCTATACCATGGCAAACTGTTAAATGACCAGAGGGTATAGATGGACCCATGGATTGACCGTTTGTGAACAACGCCGCTGGCGTTGTAGAAACTCCATGTTGGACCGTTGGACCCAGAAGCAGCCAGCGCAGGGGTGGCACGGCGCAATGCTGCTCTCATCGCGGCCATGGCGATATATGGCGATCAATACGTAGGATGTGGGACGAAAAAAATATGTACAATGTACCATCTTGATGATTATCTTGATGTTTTGAAAACTGTCATTCTGCTTCATTGATCTCAATTGTAGCTGGTTTTTTATGAAAGGACGGTAAGTAGACCAAGTTGTTTGTGGTTTCCCAAAACAGTTCACAGTTTAGTGAATGTCGAGTTCCTCCCAAAAATCCTCAAAACCGTCCAGGCAGTCGATATGCGCCCACATTCAAGTTTAAACAACAGGACCAGAAACTTTTCCTGCTGGACAAGCAACATACTGCAGGAAAACAAGTGGTTTTCCAAAGCATTCCAAGTGCACCCCGTATTCACCATTACTATCACCCTGTATTCACCATTACTATCCATTATGTACTACCATTCACTCCTTCTTCACCATCCTCCAGCTGCAGTTGGCATGGCCTTTTTTTCTGGAGCAGAAAAAACATGTCCATCAACCGACCGTTGTCGCTACGACGTAGCACGCCTGGATGATGCTCCAACTCTTGGAATCTGAACGATCGGACATCTTTGAAAAAACATGGAGATACCGAAAAGACACGTGTCAGGGTGTAGGGATCTCCTCAGTTTCGGATAGTCCTATCGGTTCCTATCGTTTTAATCAACACATTGTCATTCCTCGGGAACTTGAGTGCTACTTTGTGTCACAGCATGGCAAGACGAGGCTCTGCTAGTGAAAGCGCGCTTGCCAGCTGAGGAAGAGTTCCGTGCTGCAATCGAATTGGCTGACTCTCAGCATTGAATAGCAATTCGAGAGTAAGAAATAGTACCCTCTGGTTATGACTAACATAGCCATGGTATAGATGGCCCATAGAAATAGATGATTTTCCCAGCTAGAAACCTCAATTTATAAGGGATTTTCCATGGCTATGTTAAATAACCAAATGGTAATGTGGTAATACTGTTGTGATCCCAATGATCAAACTGTCCTAAATCTACCACGTCTGGTCTTGCAAACCTTGACGAAAATCATGTTGGTCATTAAAGTGTTACCACGTTGGGTAAGTTACAGACAAATTTTTGTTGGTTCTTGACAATGCATAACATATCATACGGCATACGATATTGGCAGATTTGGCATGGGACAAACTTTGAGACACCTCAGTATCAACATTGGCACCTGCCACCAAACATACTGAGGGTCACGCTCAATAAATGAATTCTCTTGGCATTTCTGCGGCAACAATTCTCAGATCACTTTGCTGAAATTGATGACGTCCATCGTATTGATCACCTGGAACAAATCACCCGGTCAACCGGAAAATAGCAGAGCAAGCTGTATCAAGAAATGTACCAATATGAAACTGCCAGTGACGCAGGAGTCTATAAGGCCCCGCAAGTTGCCCCTTTCATCAACTTTGGCATCTCCCGAATTGCTAGTGTCCAGGCAAACTGTATGAAATCCTTCTTTTCGCCATAAGACCCACCGCACCTTGTGTGATATGTGATGACATCTGCGATTCAAGTCGTTTTCAGCACTGCTTCTTGAAAGTGCCTCGGATTGAAAGGCCAGCTACAGGGAGTGAAGAGGCAACTGGCCATGATCACAGATGATCATCTGATAAACAGTGGCACAGCATGCTGGAACATCACCACACCCGGAGATACTAAGTGTTTGTGCAACATTGGTTCATCAAAACATTAGATAGTTATAAGCATTGATGAT